TTTAAATGTATTTATATGCGTAAATTGACAAAAGAAAAGTCAAATATTTGAAGTAAATGAATAATCTTAGATCATGTTGGAAGAAACCCCTCATAAATCAATTAAAGTAACTGAATCCATATAATAAAAATTAGTCTCTATTGAATTTATATTAAGAATAGAGAAAATAATATTTAATAAACAACTGATTGAATCACATTACTGCTAGCCCATTGTGACGTTAAGCCCACCCCCTCTCCCTTAGTGTAGATAATATCGTTTGTTCAAAAATAAATAAATAAATAAACAACTTATTGAATGACATTATTGCTAGCCTATTATGAGGCTAAGCCCACCACCTCTCCCTTAGTGTAGATAATATCATTTGTTAAAAAAATAAAAAAACAATCATTTGACAATAATCACATTATTATCCGCGTGCGAAATACCTTTTTTATAACCGGCATTACAGGCTCTTAAGATGAAAATTGCATTATTCCAACTTGGAACTTGCCACTCTTGTTGACTTAAAAAGTAAGCTATATGATTTTTTCCTCTATTTTAGGTCATGTGTCAATGAGTACCCCACCATTTAGAGTCTAGACAACCCTTTTTCTAATTATTACATTGTTTTGTTAATTTTAAATGAATGTCTCACTCCATAAGTTGAAGACCATTCTTCAAATAAACATAACACATCAATCAGGATCCTCATATATATAAATAGTTGATTTTTCAAACTTGTTGAAATTTGATTAGTTCAACTTTCTTATCTTTTAAAATTTCTATAGAAGAATAATCCTCCGGATTCCAAAAAATCTTTTGGTATAGCTAACTGATACGACAGTCTTCATTCCTAACTTATATTGTATGCGTGTTGACTATTGGGTATCCCGGATCCATGAAGTTTCTTGATTCACCAAGCACCCACGCACGTCCAACTACAACCAAACTATTGTGTTTAGTTTATGATTCACTAGCATTCATGCACGCGCATGAGCGCGTGCAGAAGGCATTTTTTTGAATCATGGTATGCTACGCGTGACTTACACGTTTTAAATGTATTTATATGCGTAAATTGACTAAAGAAAAGTAAATATTTGAAGTAAATGAATAATCTTAGATCATGCTAGAAAAAACCCCTCATAAATCAATTAAAGCAGCTGAATCTATATAATAAAAATCAGTCTCTATTGAATTTATATTAAGAATAGGGAAAATAATATTTAATAAACAATTGATTGAATCACATTATTGTTAGCCTATTGTGACGCTAAGCCCACCCTCTCCTCCTTAGTGTAGATAATATTGTTTGTTCAAAAATAAATAAATAAATAAACAACTTATTGAATGACATTATTGCTAGCCCATTATGAGGTTAAGCCCACCTCCTCCCCCTTAGTGTAGATGATATCATTTGTTAAAAAAATAAAAAAAACAATCATTTGACAATAATCACATTATTATTCGTATGCGAAATACCTTTTTTATAACCTGCATTACAGCCTCTTAAGATGAAAATTGCATTATTCCAAACTTGGAACTTGCCACTCTTGTTGACTTAAAAAGTAAATTGTATGATTTTTCCTCTATTTTAGGTCATGTGTCAATAAGTACCCCACTAGTTAGAGTCTAGACAATCCTTTTTCTAATTATTACATTGTTTTGTTAATTTTAAATGAATGTCTCACTCTATAACTTGAAGACCGTTCTTCAAATAAACATAACACATCAATCATGATCCTCATATATATAAATAGTTGATTTTTCAAACTTGTTGAAATTTGATTAGTTCAACTTTCTCATCTTTTGAAATTTCTATAGAAGAATACTCCTCCGGATGCCAAAAAATCTTTTGGTATGGCTAAATGATACGACAGTCTTCATTCCTAACTTATATTGCATGCGTGTTGACTGTTGGGTATCCCAGATCCATGAAGTTTCTTGATTCACCAAGCACCCACACACGTCCAACTACAACCAAACTATTGTGTTTAGTTTATGATTCACTAGCTTTCATGCACGCGCATGAGAGTGTGCAAAAGGTATTTTTTTGAATCAAGATATGCTACGCGTGACTTACACGTTTTAAATATATTTATATGCGTAAATTGACTAAAGAAAAGTCAAATATTTGAAGTAAATGAATAATCTTAGATCATGCTAAAATAAACCCCTCATAAATCAATTAAAGCAGCTGAATCCATATAATAAAATCGGTCTCTATTGAATTTATATTACGAATAAAGAAAATAATATTTAATAAACAACTGATTAAATCACATTATTGCTAGCCCATTGTGAGATTAAGTCCACCCCCATCCCCCTTAGTGTAGATAATATCGTTTGTTCAAAAAAAATAAAATAAAAAAAACTTATTGAATCACATTATTGCTAGCCCATTGTAAGACTAAGCCCACCTCCCTTTCCCTTAATGTAGATAATATCGTTTGTTAAAAAAAAAAAACAATCATTTGACAACTAATTTATTCACATTATTATTATCCGCATGCGAAAAACCTTTTTTATACCAGCATTACAGCCTCTTAAGATGAAAATTGCATTATTCCAACTTGGAACGTGCCATTCTTGTTCCTTAAAGACTTAAAAAAGTAAACTATATGATTTTTCCTCTGGTGGAAACAGTTCATATTATAAATCATACTATAAAGATTTTATATTTTATTATTATTATTATTATTGTAGATATGACATTTATAATGTGATTTACAATATGCACGATTTCGATTATATGAACGAAGTTTCGTAAATCGGTAACAAAGCATCTTAAGGAAGTACTCCTTCTCAATCTTAAGGAATCAAGATTTCCTCTTTAAAGTGATTCAAATGCCATACATAAAAGTTAAAACATGTGGATACCACCAAAGAAGAAAATTTGAAATTTTAGAGGACAATAACAATTCTCTGTTAATAAAATCTTATCATTTCTCCGGAAAAAAATAATCAAAATCATTCATTACTTCGGCAAATGTCCAACCCTCCCCCCAAACTTGAAAGCAATCCCAAATGGTTCACCACTCTCAAAAGACCAATTTTATTTTCTTTCTTCCCGAATCCCATTGTTTCTGCTCGACATGGGATTCAATGCACGACGGTGCTCGCCTGTTGCTCGACGATTGTAATTGCCACAGTGAATCAGAGAGTCAGGGCTCATTGCCCACCATTTTCTTCATCCTCTGCCCCTCCATCAAGGTTAGTCGGTCAGAAGTTGATTTGAACTCTCGAATCAATCCAAGAATTTAACCCCAGAAAACCCAATTCGATGAACAAATTCCCAATTTGTCAGTTTCGAGTTTGCCCAATTCGATTCCGAAAGAACCCACCGTTACAAACGCCACAATTTCTGGGAAATGTGGTGTCCTACAATACACTGATTGCAGGGCACCGTGATAAGAGCATTTCCAAAGGCGATGTCAAAACTGCCATGTAGGCCTACAACAGTAAAAAATGATAGCAAACTCTCTCCAACCGAGCCTTCAATTTCTTATGTGGCGTGGAGTCATTTGAAGGCAAAGCTTTTTGGTGTCAAATTTGACAGCAGATGTCAAATTCATTAAATGATTTTTTAATAGATTAATATAATATATATAATAAATGTTGTTATGTTTTTGAAATATTTGATTGGTTGGCTTAATTATTGGACTCTACAAAAAGATAAAAAGTTTATGAAATGACATTATTATTTAACATATCGTGTGGAGTAAAATATTGTACAAAATGTCAAATTACCATATAAGCTATCAATTATCATTTTGATGTTTAAAATTTGACATCTCTTTTGGAGATGCTCTAAGGGCTTTTGAGTTCGTCTTTGAAGTTCAAAAACTTGATGGCGAATAATGGATTGCACCAGAGTGTGGTAACTTTTAACACACTTATTGATGGGTTTTGCAAGGCAGGAAAACTACAAGAAGCAAATAGAAATTTTTGTGAGATGAACGCCGCGAATGTGGCTGCTAATACAGTAGGAGATGGGCAATGGGCTTTTCGAGAAGATGTCGAAGAACCGAGCGAATGCTGATATACTGACTTGTAATGCACTGATATTGGGACTCTGCAAGGAGGTTAGAACTAAGAAAGCTGCGTATCTGGTTAAAGAAATCGATACAAATCACTTTGTCCCGAATTTCTCAACCTTTTCTGCCCTTACTGTCGGGCAGTACGTGCGAATGAATGCGGATCGTGCCTTTGAGTTATGTTTGTCAGATCCTTATGTTGTAAAGTCACTTGAATTCCATCACTTCCAATCTCAATCATTATGTCCTGCTACTGAAGGAAATAAGGAATGGCAATTAAGTTCAGACCATTCCTTCTTGTTTTGTTGATTCAAAAATCCGGCTCAAACTCTTCCGGTTAGACCCGATTCTCGGGTTTCTGCTCCAGGTGGCACGGCACTTGTTTAACTGCAAGTCGAGCGTTTGCAAATGCCAACTATGGAGAGAGATAATATCATACAATAGAGACCTAGAATGCAAAAGACACCAAAACAGTAACTCTTTAACAGCGTAATGATACTTATCAGAGATTCTAGCTAGGACCAAACGTGCGTACAACAAATATCGGAATTACAATTTTCATCTAGCTAGGGCCTGCTCGAACCACCTATTTAGATATAATCAGAGATTCTCACTCTGTCATGATTCATCTTCACCAGCTTCAGCAGCAGCTATCTGGGAATCCAATGTGTTTATCAGCTGCTCACTTACCGTTTTTGCCACCGATACCATGTCAAGAATGATGCTTGGATCTAGGCCTGCACCACCCCGTTTGGTCAAACCGCAGATGTGCCCCTGCCTATTGACGGAAATTGAAACAGCCGGGCTCATTTGTGATTCCTCTTCTGAAGTGGCATCCACAATATAGTGCTTACCTACCTGAAAAACATATGCACATGACTCAGTACAGGGCTAAAAAGCATTTGCAATTTGCTATATTTTCAACTCTGCAGTTGGATTAAAATACGCTCAACTGAGAATCCATTGCCAAAAGAGAAAACAGACCAGATCCACTTTTACCACCCAAGAGGCAACATCGAAGAGCCACCGAGAGTTCTGCTGACAGCTCCTCACCCCCTCTACCCTGCAGAAGGAAAAAAACAACAGCTTTACAATAAGTATAAATGCATTGGTCCTACAAAAGCAAAATAGATACTCGTTCTCTGCAATGGACCAGTAATTCGTACACCAAAAGGAGAAGTTCAGATTCTCTAATGAACAACTAACATAAACTGAGATATAGTACCTTCGTATTTTATCAGAGCGTGAATTCAACAAAAACAAAGTAGTAAACTGTCTACAGGATCTTGAAGAAACCAAGATCTCTATACAACCTCAATTCACACAGTAAAACATGAGAAGGAAGCAGATGATAAAAGTGTTAACCTCAAACATTGGTGCTGCAGTTGGACTGCAATCAACATTTATAAAGACCTTTCCTTTGTCGGGTTGCAGCGCAGTTGGCCTTCCAAGTTCAGCCTGCACTCGGTCATCATTACCAGCAAATATGATAGTATGAAAAACAGGGGCAGCTCAAATAATCAGACTAAAAAATTACCTAAATTTGATCAAGGACATTCCAATAGCATGTAAAAGTAAGCATGCGCTTAACATCAAGACCGCAGTTATACCTTCACACTGGCAATGACATCTGTAGCACCCATCCTGACCCTTGCCGAGCCATTTGCCTGGGCAACGGCCACAAAGAACGGAAATTATAACAAAATAAGTAAAATTTCATGTCACACCAAAAAATAAAATCCATTATTTTTAGTGAAACACATAACAGATATTAACCTGGGAAATAACTCCAGTTTTGACATTGATGGGCCGAGGCGTCAATCTTTTTCGGCCATTAGAACGAATGTCCTGAGCAATGCCACCCTGTATAAAATACTTTTCTCCTATGGATAATCCCACCATTTCTGAACATATGATATGAAAAAACATTTCTCATCGAATTAACTTCATAAATATCAAAAAAATAATTATTACAGCAACATAATACGTATATAAAAATAATAAAAGCAATAAATTAAAAACTAAAAACAAACGCAGCAATCCTAAGCGCTCATATGTCTCAGAGAAACTCTACAGTTTGCTCAATCAACGTAAACAAATAGCTCAAAGTAAAGGGCAGCCACTTGGAGTGAAAAATTATGAACTTTTCAACGATTACTAACAAGCAATGAGGAATAATTACCGAGCAGAGACGATGATGACGAAGCCCTTATCAGTGAGAGTCGGCGGCGGCGACGCTGCGGCCGAGAGGAGATGCAGAGGGAAAGACTACTAGCGGGAACTGCATCCTCTAAACGATAATGAAGGGAATGTTCCCCCATCTTTTATTCCGTGAGACGCTCTAGTTAAACGCCTCGTGTCTTGAACTAAATCCAACGGACGATATATGCTCTACGTATTACTTTTCTCAACCGTCAGATTAGTAGACGATGACGTGGCGCGAGCACATCGCCGGTGAGGGGATGAGACCCATACCCGTTTCATCCAGCACATCAACTGGCCCTAACCGAAATTTCCCGAATCTTCACCTGTTGAAAAATTAGGGTTTTCATTTTCTAGGGTTTTGCATTCGGTTTGTCGGTGAAATTCAACCGATGGGTCGGTCCCGCGCGGTCTATCAGGGCGCCGTCGACAATCCCAATCAGAAGTCAGTGCAATTTTCACCAATTCGCTGCAAATTTTCAAGTTTTATCAGATAATTAAGCAATTCAAATTTCCCAATTATGTCTCACGGAAAGTTGTTTATTTGTTGGATAATTTGCAGTAGGGGCAAAAGAAAGAGAACGGCTTCGGGGGCGGAGGTGGCGTAGAACAGCGGCACAGCTCAGAAACCTGTGGCCCAAGAAATCAGCGAACCCAAAGGGGCTTTCTACCATTGCAATTACTGCAATAAGGATATTTCTGGGAAAATTCGGACAAAGTGTGTGGTGTGTCCAGATTTTGACCTTTGCATTGAGTGCCTCTCTGTTGGAGCTGAGCTTACGCCTCACAAATGCAATCACCCTTACAGGGTTATGGTCAGTCCCCCCTTACATTTTCAAAGTTGCTTTCTTTCTGATATCTTAGACTCGTTGAAATTGCTTGAAGAAATTTTGAATTTTTAAGCTTTGGGTGTAGCTTTAGTGGAATTTAGAATCCGGAAATGGGAAAAAAGGCGAGACTGGGATGACCTTAGAGTAAAATGCATTAAAAGGGAAAAGATTGACTCGGTTTTCTGACCCGAACTGAGGCTCTATATACTGCCTGCAAGTAAGAATGTTTTCCTTAGAATGCAAGCAACAGCCCCGTTTAGATTCACCTGAAATCTGTATGTAAACAGCTACGAGTAATTGTTTTATTTGTGTACGTAGTAATTTTTCGAGCTTGTTATTTCATTTGACTATATAGGAGATGCTTTCAATATACCATGGACTATTAATTAAGCATGCATTTGCGGACTTTTTGGTTTTTAAACAGGATAATTTGGCTTTTCCACTTATTTGTCCAGACTGGAATGTAGATGAAGAGATGCTACTGCTCGAGGTATTGAATAAACTGATTTCTTCTTTCAATTATTATGATAAACTTTTTTTTTTTTTTCCCCGTGAAACTAATAAATTTTGTCTACTATCACTTGTTCTTTGATCATGCTGTTTAGGGTATTGAAATGTATGGATTTGGGAATTGGACTGAAGTTTCTGAACATGTTGGAACGAAAACCAGACAACAATGTATTGATCATTATAAAGCTATATATATGAACTCTCCACACTTTCCTCTCCCAGTAAGACCATTGTTCTAATTAAGGCATGTCCACACACCACACGTGATATACACACATAAATTATATAAAAAGCAAAAATTATTACTAATAGTTTTCATGATATCCCCTTAGGGCATGTCTCATGTTATGGGAAAGAGCAGAGAGGAGCTTCTTGCTTTGGCTAAGGGGTCTGATTAAATCAAGAAAGGTTAGTTCACGTTGAGTCCATAGTAGCTGAGGCCTGAAAGCAGTTATGCTTTGGTGTATGATTTATGATTTAAGATGCCTCAATAGTTTAAGATCGAACCATTCAGTAGCTTAAGTGATCTTTTATTAGGCAATTTATATTCAAAGGATCCACGAATTGTTTTCCAATGCTCTGTTTCATCTGTTTGTCATAGATAGTGATGATCTTTTGAATTAATTAGAATGTCTGTCTCGTATGCTCAAATTATCTGCATTAACTATGCAGGAAGCTCGAACTGCAGGTTGTACGACAGCTTCTGAGGCCAGTAGATACCTTGAAGAGAAGAGGAAGAAGGAAGCGGAACAAAGTGCCCTAAGGACTAAGGAAAGCTCTCAGGCTGGTAAAGGCTTGCAGATCAGCCCTCGGGGATCTTTTAAGGGATCCACTGTTCTGCATCCCATCAGCAAGGACACATATTTAACTACGCAAGCTATTTCAAGCTCGTTGGATTATTGGGATATCACTGGGCTAGTTGGGGCTGATTTACTATCCGAAACTGTAAGAATGCCAGTCTCAACGTGATTTTGTATTTATCCTTTATACGTGAATTGTTCTTTATGATACGATCAATGTGGCGTAATACGTGCAGGAACAAAGACTTCGCAGTGAATTCAGAATCCTACCTTCACATTACCTTAACATGCTGCAGACCATCTCCACAGAGATTGTGAATGGCAATGTTAAGAAGCAAGCGGATGCCCATCGCCTGTTCAAGGTTGAACCGAGCAAAGTCGATAGGGTTTACGACATGCTTGTGAAAAAGGGAATGGCTGAAGCATAGTTATGCCTCCAGTCTCGTTCTTGTAAACCTGTACAGTACTGTTTCTTAATTGAAGGGGAAAATCCCATTCGTATCATCTCGGGATTCCTGGGAGAACTTTTATCCTTCATGCTCATATAACAATTAGGCACCAGTGAAAATATACCGTGCCTAAACACTTATACAACTTGGGAGTAACCAAATACAGAAATTTAGAGTCATAAAACAGAATAATGATTTAGATATTTTTCTTTTATACAAGCGATAATAGAGACGGGATATCAAATATTGCCTTGATAGTGTTGGTTTTAACGCGATAATAGGGACGGGATGCCAAACATTACCCTTAATTATGCTGGCTTTAACACGGCCTTTATAACTTTTTAAATTTTTTAATTTTATTTACCATCGTATTGAATAAATCAACAGAAATAACATATATGATTAAAAAGGAATATGTTTTAGAAGTAAAAACAATGCCGAAAGAACAAGAAACAGAAAGGCAAGCCTGCAAATATTACAAGAGCAAGCAACTTGAACCTGAACAAAACTAGACTAGACTAGGCTAGAAAAGAAGGCTCTTCTCATTTGTTTTTGGAAGTTTTAACGAAAAGTCTACGGTAGTGTTCACTTTAACGAAAAATCACATTTTTACACTAAAAAGTCAAATCTGTTACTATTCACTTAACCCTTTATTTTATCCTTATCGTTAAAACTCAAAGTTTTCAAATCTTTTTCATTAGTTTTCCTATTGTTTTTTGGGAAAATTTGAAATATATCCAATTTTATAGGGCACCTTTTGAATTAGGTCTAATTTTTAGTGACTTTTAACTTTTGAAATAGGTTCAATTTTTAATTACTTTGAACCCATATCAAAAAATTTCTTGGTTTTTTGTGTGTGGGGCCAGGTCAACATAATCTCTCTCTCTCTCTCAAACACAAATCATTCTGCAGCCTATCCGACGATATCACCCCCCAAGTCAAAAGTACCTTACATAACCCCACGGCCTACAGGCCATAGACATCACAACAAAATCTCCATTTTGCTCTCATCCTTCCCTACTCTGCCTGCCGGGTATTGCTTTGTTTTTAAAAACACCGTTCTATTCTAAATTACTTTAACGCGAAAAGTATTCAACTAGCTCAAATGTTACGGAAGTGACCCGATGGATTGTATCAATCAACCTCACTTAATATGCATCTACCTACACATTTAATCAAAAAAGAGGCTTAATGGATTGTTCATATCAACTTGCTTTAATACACGTCGACTTACTCATTTGATAAGAAAAAGACATGATGGACTGTTTAGCAACCTTCACCAATGCACTTCAACGTACATATTTGAGTAACGCATTATGTGGCAGCTGATGTGTAAATACCGCACCAATCAATGATTCTATCTCATTGAATTTTAATCAAATGCATTATCACATTTCATATGTGATACTCCAATGTCTGATAAATCTAACATTACTCTATACCAAAGTTATGTTTAACCCCCTACACTAATCAATCTGCTGCACCAAAGTCCCAAAGGTGCAGCGTCGTACCCCCGGAACACGCTGCGACATGTCGTTCATCGCATACGAAAGCGTTGACTTCCCCAATCATCTCCATGAAACTGTCCAGAGAGGCCCCTCTCTCCACCTCCCATACCCTCACCACCCCACCGCCGCACATTAGCGCGTACCCTTCGTTCATGCACCCCATCACCGCCATCTGCGACGCCCCACTCACGATAAACCTACACACCTCCTCCAGTGTGTCAGTCCGGCGCACATTAGCCAAACCCCTCCTCCCCACTATAACGAACGCCGACCTGCTCACGTCAGCCGCAGTCACAATTATCCCTCTCCTGTACTCCTCCTCGCTCAACACAAACCCCTGATTCCTAAGATCGAAGACAATCACGCGCGCGCTCGTGCACGCCACGGCCGTTTCCCAACTCGTGACTCGGACTCGGCCTACAAACTCGGTCATCTCCGTTAGCATGTGCCACCCCATCAGGGCTTCCTGATCCGTCAATGTCCCGCCGACGAAAGTCAACTGTTCAGTCAAACCATTCCAAATGTGAAACGCCCGACCCGGAACACCCGCATAGAGCCCGACCCACCATCTTTCGGATCCAGTGAAATCAACCAAAACCCCATCATTTACCACGTCGCCCAAGTGGGCCCTACGAGCGATCTGCGGGCCGTTGATGATCGCTACGTGGATGTCTCCGTCCAGCATGGCGAAGATGAGAGTGGAGTCTGTTATCACGATGCCGGTAACGGCCCGGGAGAATCGGCCGAGGCGGTCGCGGGGTTGGGGCCGGAAGGTGCTGACATGCAGGCGAGTGGCAAGGTCGAACAGGCGGACGGTGCCGTCGGCGAAGCCGCAGGCGAGATGGGCGTCGGAGAGGGTGAGGCATCGGCAGGTGAGGCCGTCGGGGTCTTCCACGCCGGACGGATCGAAGTAGAGGGTCGTGTGGGTGGACCTCTGGGTTCGGAAGTTTGTGGCCGTCCGATGCCAGTAGACGTACTCGTCACGCCACCTGTCGCGAAGAAGAATTGTCCGGCCCCAGATACGGCGGGTAAGGCGACGCCAGAGAAGGTCGGAGCGCGAGACGGCGCGCCACGTCGAACAAACCTTCACATCGGAAAAATGTCACGTACGCGATCAGTTTCAGTAAGTAGGTTACAGCTCGTTCATGCATGCACGTTATATTGAATGGAAAACATGAAAGCTAAAACGCGTATGGCTTCTCTATTTTTTGTGCATGCAATAAAAATAAAAAAATTAATAAAATATATGCTTTCTAATTATATGTGGAGAGATGGGAACGCATGCATGAGTAGGTAGGGTTATTATGGGTATTTAACGAGGAGGAGGATTCTCTACCTTTCTATGCCCTCTTATTTGAACGGTTACGATTAAAAACAAAAAACAATGTGTAAGAAGAAGGGATTGGAATAGGAGGGTAGAGAATCCTCCTAGGTTTCAGATTTGATGGGCATGTGTGTTAACCAGTTAAAGTAATGACAGTGTAATAATACAATACACGAAGGACAAACCGACTAATACAACTTCGACCATCTCCAGAGAAGCTATAAAAACAACTAAAAATTTATTTAAAAAAAAAAAAAAAAAAAAAACTCCATAAAATCATCCCCAGGAGAAATTTTAAAATTTTTGTTAAAATAGCAAGAGAACAGTACAGTGTCAAACTCTTTATTTCCAACAATATTATAATCTAAAGAACTCTATATATATATATATATATATATATATATAATAAAGTGAACTGTTACTCTTTAAATGTAGTTATTGTTCATGTATTAAATGTTAAAAATTTAATAAAACTCAATGATAAACTCGTGAACCAAAGAGTAAAGAAAGAGAAAATGTGATTTTAGAAAATGAGTGAATTAGATTTGAATTGTTAATAATAAATATTTAAAATTTGTTAAAATAGAGTGTTATTGACATAAAAAGTTAATTGAGCAGCTAAAATAATTTTATGACACTATTCACTCACTAGTTTAACAAGGTTTAAAACTAGTAACCAACTTGGAACGTAAAAGTATTATTCATTTTGTTTAACCAATTATAGAGCTAGGATTCAAAATTCTTCCAAAGTGCAAAAGAAATTTCACTGAACTAATATTTTAGTTATAATAGCTAGTGAACAATGCCAGAAAGCTATTTTAACCAGTTCATGTAACTTAACATCTTCAACAACACTGTATTTTAACATATCTTTGATATGTTACTAGTTCTTCAGGTTAAAAATTCTCTAATAGTTAGTAAAATTTTGTCGTGGTGCCAGGAAGTGGGGATAATGTAGCGATTAAAGATTTAGATCTCTTACTATTTGTACGTGGGTTGAGGTTTTTGGGCTGTTTGCAAACATTAGGGCAAAATAACTACAGGTAGAAAGCATCACCATGGAATGTGAAGAGAAGCCAATGCAAAACCCTAGCCCCACGGAGGAGACAGTTGATGCCATGCGCGTAAACCCTAGAGAGAGAGAGAGAGAGAGAGAGAGAGAGAGAGGGAGAGAGAGAGGGGACCTAAAAGGTGGAGCGCGAGGGCAGGTGGCTCAGCTGGCAATCGAGAGAGAGAGAGAGAGAGAGAGAGAGAGAGAGAGAGAGATTATAGGGAAGGAGAGTGGAGAGTACGTAGTAGTAGTATAGCAGCCGGGGAGTGTAAGAGGAGTGAGGAGGAAAAGACATCAGTCAGAGTAGGTCTAAATAAATAAGTGGCAGCTGTGTGGTACAATTTTCGTCTGCAAATCTCTCGTCTCCCTCCCTCCTTCGGAGGATTCTCTCATTTTTCTTTTTTTTGTTATAAATTATGTCAATATTTTATATTTATTTTTTATTAAAATAATAAGATAAAAAATAAAATGTGAGATAAGAGAGTGAAAGGGAGTGCGAATAGAAAGAGAGAATCATATTTCCTCTCCTGTATCTGTCTGGATTGCTGCTTGCTTGCCTGCTGTAAGAGCTTTTTATTTGATATCATGGATACTAGAGACTGACACCTCTCTCTCTTGCTCTCTACATTTATTATTACTCAATCCAACTTCTTACAACATATAATATATATATAATGTATATGTATGGCACCTGCAATTACAAGACTGCTCTATTAATTTGCATTCCACAAGATTATATGTGATTTTCTAGTTTTACTAGTTACAATAAGTACATCTAATTTCGGTTATAGAAATTCGAACTTAGACTTGGCAGGTAATCACATTATTGTTCTAACTAATTTAATTAAACTCAGCGGGTCGATTTTATACTAGAACTTTTGATACATATATAAATACATAATTGTTCATAGGACCTACATATATAACACTGTAATATCATTAATTCAATATCCATGGGAAACAATTAGCGTACCTAGCTAGAGACCATGAAACGGACAAAGATCGACCATCTAGAAAACTATGAACAAACATATACATATCTTGACATAATAAAAAAATAGGATTGCAAATTTTGCGTGCTTCACCACACATAGTTGCCTTTCAATTCCAAGAAACGTGTAGCCAAAGTCTGTCCTGTTAAAAAGCAGAGAACTTTTCATCCCTTAACCCTACTTTCTTTGACTCCTCTAAATCCCACCCGTGCGTGTATTACTCACGTTTTCCTGCTCTAATTGGATCTTCTTTCCTTTCTATTTTCTTTTTTGGTTTTTCTTGCTATTGGAGACCCCATCATGTTCTTGGTAGTAATGGTTTCATGCTTATCATGTAATTTGTGATATTATTTTATGTTCACAAAAATATTGATTTATATCGCATTGAAATCTATCATGAGCGAGATTCTGTTTTGCAAAATCAAAAAATATGTTAGTGCTCAATGTCTGCCACCGACATGCACAAAACGAGATTGCGCTATTAAATAAAAACACAACTTAATATAATATGTAAATTTAAATATATCAACAGACATGTCAAACTGTGAGACAAAAAAATACAAACTTCATTACGATGGTTGTAACTTCCTTCTTAATCTTAGAAGATTATACTTATTCAAGCATATGTACCCATACATACAATATGTTCAACAATAAGGGTGAAATTACTTTAAATTTAACATACTATAGGTTAATCAATTTTATCACTCTAGCTAGGCTCCAAAACAGTTTTCAAACATTCAAGAAAGGACAAAGCAAATAAGAATCATCAGAAGCAAACAAAGAGAAAAAGAAGTCACCAGAAGGTATTGCATTGGAAGTAGCAAGAGACAAGCACACCTCTGGAGTTGACCAGTAGACATCAGCTTGTAAACCAAACAAGCATTGGGCTCCATGTACTTTATGACATATGCAGTTGCATCAGTTGCATGCAAGGTTTTTTTTGACATGGCACTTCAACACCCATCAACTGTCAAGGGATCTCGACATCTCAACCCGCTCCTCAATCCATGCTTATCTGCCTCCCTCGTATGGAAAGTCGTTTGGATTCACATCAAGCGCAAAGGTCCATTTTCTTTTTACGATTTTCTTCGAACTTTTTGCATTTTCTAGGGCATGAATTTCGACTTAAAATTCCTTTATAAGATTCTAAATCATTTTCATCCATAATTTGATAGAGTATTAGAGTCGTGAATTTCCTTGATGGATGTGGTTTTTCATTAACCTACTAGTCCTTCGAGTTCAAATTTTTCATCTTACATTTTATTCAAGTTAAGACTTTTAAAGTGGTAAATATTAGATGGTAATACTATTTTTATCCAGTGCCATTTTGTTTTGTTACTTTTTAGATGTCAAAAACATAATCTCGTAAATTCCAAAAACATAAAATAATCTATAAAAAAGACCCAGCGGTAATAGATCCCTGGAATCTTGTTCTTGTGGACTTGCATAACAGATTTATAATATTAATTATAGAAAAACAGAAGATGAATTTTTGTACGTTACTGGCATGACTATTGTTGTACTTTGAACTCCAATTTAGTCTGAATTAAAGTGGACTATAATATTCTTGAATATAGTACCAAAAAACTCCAAAAATTAAAGTGGACTATAATATTCTTGCATATAGTACTAAAAAACACCAAAACAAAAAAGAACATTAATGGCTATGGCAGCGAAAATATAACTGCGAGACAGACGTTAGCTAGATATAGAAACGTAAAGTTTTATGTACAATCCAATCCAACCAGTCTCTCAGCTCCCTAAATTTTGCTATATAATTCCAATTTCCATACACTGCTAAGTGATAAAACCAAGCTTTAAAGGTCCTTATCCGAGAGAAGAAGAGGAAGAAAGGCATCCCAATAAAAATTTGAAGAAAAGTTCAGTCAAAAAAGTAGACAGAGGGAGAGGGATTGCTAGAGCTCGTAAGGGCGAAAAAAGGGAAATTTAAAGCCAAAATAACCCTTTTTCGTTAGATTTGGAAAGGGAAAGAAACGAAAAGCCAAAGAAGCCAAACACAAACCTCCTACTAGTGAAAGGGACATTAAATTATTTTTGCATAGAAGAGAATTGAGAGCATGACCCTTCAAAAAAGCAATTACCTTCTGAAGCAAAACAGTTTCTTCTCTCGAATGTAGCTAAACCAACTAGTATACCAGAACAGTGTGTTTTCCTCTCTGCGCTCAAGCTCGAATCTTTCGCTCTGTAAAAAGGTGCCACTATACTATCTGGAGGACTAGAACAAAACCCAGAACCCGTTATAATTTCTCATGTTTTCACAAATAAAGGGAAGAAAAAAAACCCATAACCCAATTTTTAATATATTTAATTTTTAGGGGAATCATCAATTGAATTAATTTTGGTCTGGCAGGTTTTTCTAGTGTATTTATGCATATGATGCTCTTTGACTAGACTAATATTTTCTCCATTTTGGAATAAGAACCATCAGTTTCTCAGTAAGACCTAGCCGGATTCTAACGCTGCGTACCATGCCAAAGATCTCCCAAAATAATCAGAATTATATAATAAGCACACAATTTTTCACATATTTCACATTGCAACACAACTAGTTAATCAAAAGATTTCATTGTTTAATCTTATCAGAAAACGTACCTGAAACACGTTAGCAAGGGCTGGAGCAGCCGCAAGTCGTCCGACGGAGCGAGAGGCTTCAATGGCAACTTGGGCGGCGAGGGCTTCCACAAAAGGCTCAGGCCAGACCTCGTTTACGGAACGTCGTCTGGAGGAGGATGGCCCTTCGAAATCACCACCTCTTCGTACACTGCTAGGACCAGCTGCATTGGCACTGTCGTTTCCATTTCCGTCATGGGATGAGGAGGAAGACGAAGATGATGAAGTTGATGGAGCCGAACTGTAAGAGGTAGACATGAAAATGACAAAGAAAAAGGTGGAGAAGAAGACACAAGGACAAAAAGGTAAAGGTATGGATAAAGACACAATTCAAGCGAGGGACCCAGAAGAAGGTCTGTGTGATTATTGGATATTTATATGCAATTTCACACTCTCTCGCTCAATAAAATAATTTAAAACATAATCAATGTTGCATCCACCTCATACATGGGAGACCATATTTCATGACGAGGGTCATTGTTGTGTGGACGTATTCGATCAATGCAATATAAATCATTTTAGGTGCACCTCTTTTTCCAATCAAATGTGATTAATATATTTTTATCTTAATAATTTTATAATCAATGATCATAATCATTCATTTTTTTAATCAACATTTAAAGATCATTTTGTGAAAAAAAAAAAAAACGAAAAAACGAAAAAAACAAGTTAAAGATAGTTAATCAAAAATACAGAAAGAAAAAAAAAAAGAATTCGCTTGAAAAATAATAAAGTTGTTATTTTATAGTGCAAATTAATGGATTGACAGTGTTCATTTTCTTTAACAACCAAAAAACTAATGTTATACAATAAAAATAATGTATCATTTTAATTTTCCCTTTCCGCACTTATCTTCTTGTTTTTGTCATATATTCAATCTTCGTTAGGGGGAGAAACTTGCATCGGGAATATAGGAATGCGAAATTCACTCACATTCACAGTAATAAATTGATAGTGAAGATAATCAATTTATGACATAATATTATGGAAAATGAAGAACAAGATTTTCTTGTTTATTTTTGTAAGTTAAAAAGGGGCCGGGTCCGACCTAATTAGAGAGGGGGTGGGAGGTTGATTTAATTTCCCGGCCTGCATGGATGGCAGTGGGGAGGGGGTGCGGTTTCTGAAACCGCAGGGTTTATGGATTAGCCCTGGATTTTTCGGGGGATTTTTAGCCCTAGCTCATGTTCAAGTAAGGTCGCATCTCCCTGTATCTGTATCAATTGCAGATGATTGTCAAGAAAATGGGCATTGCAGTTTACAAAAACAAAAGCAACAAAACAACCTCACTCTTTCGGAAAGCAACCAAGAAATAAATTTTTTTTAATTTTGTTTTTTGACTCCTGAGGATGATTTTGCAAGGAGTGCATGGTAAATAGCATTGTTATTAGGGACTAGTGAGTAGCAGTAAGTGGCAACTAGCGCGGCTGTACTGGAAACCGCTGTTCATACATTAATCACTAATGTTTACCAAAAAAAAAAAAAAAAAAGAAGAATATTAATAACTAATAGGTCAAGTTAGTTCCAACTCCTTGATGATCGATGAACTTTATTACGCAAATTCTTGAATTCATATTAGAAGTAATAACTATTTATCTGTCTAAAACACATAATAACTAATAAGAGTGATAAAATAGTCAACCGGTATTACCGATACATAGAAGTTACTTTATTATTCAAATTGTAAAATATATATAAATCTGTTTGTGCTTCATCAAATTAAACTTTAATTACGATTTCACACCCATCCTTCAAGGTGTTGCTATTTATGCTCACATATTTCTTCCTTTGATTAATTATTGTAACAACCAAATCATTAACAAACTTAGAGAGGCAAAAAAAGCATAGAAAAACATATGAATTATCAGCAAAAGAAAAGATTAGGTGACAATGATTAAACATCTAAATTGTGGGAGTTGAAAACTTAGAGTCTTCGAATCAATAGAGATTATGGACAAGGACTCGAGGTTTGATGTTGTGAGCTTGTCAGTTTTGAACTTGTGAGGAGCCAAGAGAGGAAGGAAGATACAAGAAATTTTGGTTTTGGATGGATTATTGTTTTGTTTGTGTTGTAGAAAAGTGAAGGTTGAATAGTTTTGTACAACAAACAAACTATCTCTTCATATTATTGAACTGTGTTTCATTGTTTCAAGTTTAAATACGGGAATTGTTATTAGCACTCTAAAAATCTCATTTTACACTTCAAACTTTCTATATTAAGAAAGAAAAATACACCTGTGAGGAGTGTAGAATGAGATTTTTGGAGTGCCAATAACACTTCCCTTAAATATTTCTTTTCATAATTATGTCAAATACATCCTCAAATATATATTTTTTCTCTTTTGGGTCGAAATATGGTAATTAGATTAGTTCAAAAAGTAAAGTGCTAATTTTTAATTCATAATGATTCTTTTGCGTATAAAATTACATTACTTTTTTAGTTTAAATTAATTACATAAATTACCATGATCAACGGTATATTAATATAGTTCTCTCTCTATCCATTTTGTAATCAAATCTATTTCTTCGATCGAAGAAAACTTTTTATCCCATAGTCAAGCCTTTATTTTAAAATCCGTTGAATAGTTTGATTGCAATATTTGCAGAATAAATTACAGGAGAAGGTAATCAACACTCGAGTAGGAGTTGAAAACTTGAAAAAGATTTTTAGATTCGAGGAAGTTGGTGCTATGATGATACAAAGTCTTATAGGTTCCAAAAAATTAAGGGAAGCGTGACATTTTGTCCGCCATTCTCGTACTACGACCACCGCACCTCTCCTGCTCCGCATGTGCATATAATAGGAGATGATTAACATCAACGTGCCATGCACAACTTGCTTACTAACTCTTATGTAATTTTGGATATAAAAGCCATATTAATAATGTAGATCTCAAATCTCACAGCATCAACAATAAAGTAGTCAAATAAATATTCAAACTCGCAACTAAACTCTTGTGATGAGCTATATAGGCAAAATTAAGCTCCAATAAAGTTGTCAATTAAGTAGGTAAACTTTGCCTACTCCCTCAATCTAGGCAGTATTGCATATTTCTACATGTGGAGAAAATTTTTAGTGTGCCAGGAACACGGTTTGTTACCTCAAATATCACAGTATAAGTGGTTGGATTTTTTCTTTTTCACATATTCAACCACTTGTATTATGACATATTTATTTATAATAAAGTATTCCATATAAGGCAAAAAAGACAAAAATAAAATATAAGTAAATATCAAAGATGAAAGAAAATAATAAAATAAAATTTTGCCTGCTTAGTTTGCCTTTTCTATTGGAGTGATACATTTTGTTTATAAGCAACTTACCACATTAGTCATTATAATACAATTTTGTCTATTATATTTATTTACACTATTGGAAATGCTCTAACAATAATGATAACAAACTAAATCGATATCGAACATAAATTAAATAGATTTTGGAAATGTATCTTTAACTTAATTTCACAAATATCATTTGCGCATATTTTTCGAAAAGTTAATATGACAACAGTGGCGAAACATAGACTTGATTAGAACTATAATTGTATTCGGTCCTCACAATCTCCTAGCGAGATCTGTCATCTTCTTAGTCTCTTTTGTTCAAATCACTCAACAAAGCACACTTTTAGATGTTTCAAAACTATAAAATTTCTTATATAACCACGTACCTCAATTAGCTCAATTAATCAAGACATGCTCCGTTTTTTAACTACGCCCGAGGCACATCAAACAACCATATTTGCCAAACACAAATTATATATCAATTGAGAAGATTTTTTATAATTTTTATTTGAGTAAACAAAAAGAAAAGATGGGCGTGCAAAGACGCAGAGGAAAAGAGCGTGGGGAAGAAGAAGAAGGAGGAGGGAAGGGTTGGGCCAAGGGGAAAGACAGGAGAGTGCTTTTTGACTAGAATGGCATGCTTATGTCTAATCATCTGGCGCAGTCTCGATGGAATATAACTGAAAGATCTTTTTTAGCAAAGTACAACTGTCTATGTCACTTGCTTCCCCCTCTGTCTGTGTGCTTCTCTCTCTCTCAACTTTTTTGGGAAGAAAAATACAGATTAAAAACAGCTGGAGTAGGAGAGTAGGCTGCTACTGCCATTAATTTCTAGGTACTAGATACTAGGGCTATAGTAGGGTTCTTGCCACAGTCAATCTTTAACTATCATAACCATATAGGCGGATTGTGTATCCTTATGTTTGAATGCTCTTTCCATCTTCTTATATTTGAATCATCGCGATTAAATCACGTTAATATTTTATATTTTTATTATTTTTTATCTTATTATTTCTATAAAAAAATTAATTTAAAATATTAATATAATTTAACTGTCATCGTATAAAATAAGAAAGAATGAGAAAAGAACCAAATAAGGAGGCAAACAATCTTCCTCCCAAAACCATATATCCTCACCTCTCTCTCGATCCTCAGCCACAGGTAGAGAGAGAGAGAGAGAGAGAGAGAGCCCATCACTGGCTTGGCGTGGCTTCTGCTTCCTTCTGCATGCCCATCTGCGGAAGAGGATCACTTAGGATGAGGATCCTCCTCATCACGAAATTCAGATAATTTAATTTTAATCCAACGACTCTAAACAAGAGATTTCTTAAAAAATTATAATAATTGTAATCGTTGGATTAAAATTAAACGATTCGGATTTCATGATTAGGAAGATCCCCATCCTATGCTCCAGAGAGGATCCTCTTCCCCCATCTGCATGCACCTGTGCTTTCACATTTCAGAAAATTTATGCATCCTTCTGTCAACCTCATTGAAAAACTAATAAAAATAGTTTTAACATTTTAAATTTTAATGATAAGAATAAAATAAAAAATAATATATATAGTATTAAGATTAATTTTTAAACGTAAAAATATAAATTTTTGTTAAAATAAACAATATAAAAAATTTTCGTTAAAATTTTCTTATAAATATAGATCTTCCATGGTTGGACCCATGTCCCCTCCTACTTTTATTATCCCCTTGGTTATACAAACTACCTATCATTTCGATCATCATCAATCACTGCAAGAACAGTGACTATAACAGCAAGTCGAACCATGGTAGATTCAACATTCTCCTCCATCCATTTCTTCAGGCCATGGCTCATGGAGTCTTTGC